TGCATCTCACACCAATCTCACAGCATGTCTTAGTTGTACATCCGAAACATCTCTCATAGTTATATTCATTATTCATAGGGAGATGTTTTCATTATAGGGTGGGATGTGGCTTTGAAGTTGGTGTGAGGAGTGTTTGTGAGGAATATATCCCAATTCTTATACTATACCCTTTACCAATTATTATTCAATCCATTTGCAGCCCTACCTTTTTTGTTTAAAGTAATCCGGTTTGGTTCAATAAGAATTAAAGACCTAATTAACTATTTGGTTTGCAGTATTCGAAAATCCGATTTTGAATTCAATATTCGATACAATCAAATCAAATTTGGATAATTTGAATATCTAATTAGTCGAATTCATATATCATATTCATACCGAATAGTTAATCGGATTTGAATTCGGATATGACCTGATTCGATTCGATAAATATTCGAATTCGATCGACTATTTAATTCTTATATATAATATATATAATATTTTATATAATTTATATATATATATAATAATTAAGTTATGTAAACAATTTATATATTTATATACTTTATATCAATAAAATATTTATTTTATATATTTATTAATTACCCAAAATAATTAATTAATCAAATTCGAATATAATCAAATTCAGATATTACCTGATCCAATTCAAATTTGATCCGTTTACACCCTATCATCAATTGAACCCAAACGAAAGAAAATTGCAAAAAAATTAAAAACGAAAATGCAAAAAGAAAAATAAATGGTTCAAAATAAATCAATGTTGAAATAGTATTGATTAGAAATAAACTAAATATAATTTTAAATTTTAAATTAAATATTTTAAAAGCCTATTGACTTTAGTTCTATATTCAAGCATGTCAAATGTTCAATCTATTTATTTATTTCCCAAATGCATTATTTCAAATAACTAATATGATTTTAAATATTTTTCATTCCTAATTTTATAAGTGACAAATCGCCTTCGTACCAAGTCCTTTGAGGCAAACCCAAATAAATCATATTGGGGGGTCCTAAATTCTTAGGATCCGTTTGGTTTGCAGGAATAGGGGTCTAAAGTCAGAATCGAAATGGGCTATTCTGATTCCAACTGTTTGGTTGGGCAGAATCATAATCCCATTCCCACTCGTGCTACAATGGAATTCCCCCATTTGAGGGAATGGTCATTCCCTGCCTCTCCCTTGGGAATGAAATCCCATTCCTGCTGATTTTAATTCCCATTCTCATTTCTGTCTAAACCAAACAGACTATGAAAATGGACCATTCTGATTCCGATTCCAACTACAAACCAAACAGACCCTTAATTCATACGAAAAAGAATGGTTTTATGATGGCAAAAGACAACATTCCATCCAATGGTTACTTCTAACATGGATGTGATGGAATTTGAATACAGGTGTATGTATTTCGTTTATGCATTTAAAATCAAAACCAATTAAATTAGAATACAAAAAAAGTATATAAAATTAGCCCACACATGGTATAAGGGTATGTGCCATGCACATGTGCAGGTAACTATTTTTTAGGGTAAAATACAAAAACCTCCCCTCAAGTTACTGATAATAATAAAAACCTCCCCTTTAGTTTCATTTTAAGAAACACCTCCCTTAAATTTTTAAAAAAGTCAACAAAAACCTCCCTTCCATTATTGACCCCGATGGAAAATTATAAAGTTACAAAATTACCCTTGTTAATGTCAGAGAGTTTTGTGCATTGAATCTTTCGGAATTACAGAATGACGACACTCATCCACGTGTATGGTCTAAAACCAATATTTACGGACATCAATGGCTCTCCCACCTTCTTTCTTCTCCTTCCTATCCAATTTCACAAACTGGATTACATCAAAACCACAATTTCTTATTATCTCTCACAATCACAATAGCGTTATAATCATTTCCAATAATTTTGTTACGATCCATTTGTCCCATTTTTGTAATATGGGATGCTAGTGTGGGGTATATATGCACTTGGATTCCCTCCCTCTAACAGCTAGCTTTTAAGGGTGAATTTTCCTAAGGCACATAACAATTTTTAGTAAGCCCAAGCATAGGCTCCTCCTCCTCCTCCGATAACCAAGCAACTAATCTTCAACAAGTATCCCCTTATCTGCAATTGATGAACACCCACAAACAACAAAGCTCTACGGTTATTCCATGCTATATCGCCTTTCCATTCCTTCAAGTCTCACCATCGGCATGTATCAAAAGAAATGGATACTGATTAATTCTTGATTCACAATACTCCCTCCTCTTGCTTCTTTATCATGTTTGATGAACTTTTTCTTTCTCCACTTTACTGCAGAAGTTCCATCGTGACTTGCCTCCAACGATAGTATTGGCCGCTACTGCTCCCGGTCCCACAATCGAGACTCTCCTAAATAACCACCACTGTTCCCGGTCCCATGATTGAGACACTCTGAGGAGTACCAACTTATGTGATGCGGCAAAATCATCTCCCTCAAAATCACCAACTCCCACCCATGGGATCGAACCGTCCCCACTGCCTTTCCCAAGAACGGTGGCATTCCCACTATCGTCCGTCTCCATGGCGGTGTCCACGAGCCACAAAGTGACGGCAACACCTTTGCCCAGTTCACCTCCATCTTCAGAGACATCGGACCCGCCTCGTCCTAGCAGATTTACACACTTACCCCAATGTCCAACATTCCGGGAACCTCAGGTACCACGATTATGCGCTTTGTCTCTATAATGACATATGAGCTTCAAGAAAGCATCATTTTCTTCCCGAATTATAGAAGAATAGATCGAAGAAATGCCAAGTGGAGAAGCTAAAGAGGAAGAAGAGAAGATAAGTGTTACATCAAATCGCACAATGAGACCAGATTGATGTATACTTCTGATAAACAAGTGAAGCTTGTCATTTGTAACATCCTCCGTGATATGAGCGACAACAAGGTCACTCATTGCTCTGGTTCCTCTCCTAAACAGAGTTTTCATTCCTTGCAGAGTGGCCAAAGAATCCCAAACCCCAGCTTTCATTGTTGTTCTTGGCCTTGGTAGAGATGTTGCCAATACCCAGGTTAGAATGGGTATTTGAAAAAAAAATTGATGCATCAACTTAACATTTTCTGTCTAAATTAGTGATGGAAGGGAGGTGTTTGTTGATTTTTTTTTTTATTTCAGGTGAGGTATTTGTTAAAATGAAACTAAATGGGAGGTTTTTATTATAATCAGAAACTTCAGAGGAGGTTTTTGTATTTTATCCATTTTTTTATTACATAGCGTGTTTCACTTATCTGTATCTATATCTATCTATGTGTGTGTGTGTGTGAGATCACAAGATTCAAATTCCTGATCTAATTATAATAAATTGATGGGTGCTCAAATTCAATTTAACTGGATCAAAGAAAAACTCAGGCCATTTGCAACCCTAGTGGCTCTTGATGGTGGAAATGGATGACATGGCGAATTAAGCAAATGGAATGAGGTATCCTAGATTTTGAGTGAAAGAGAAGGGGATATGGGAACAGTACCTTTTTTATATTTTTCGTGATGGGGTCACACTCTTGAGAAGAGGTGCAACTTGGATATTATCACCTATATCATTTGTGAAAGCTTCAATAAACCTGAGCACAATGTAGTTGAAATTCTTCAAAATCAGCACCAGTGTTTGGAACCAATGGTGTTTTCTTGAAAAATGATGCCACATCAGCGCTATGTTTGAAATTTGTTCTTTTCAGACAAGGCCTGATGTTTGATTATGCATTTTTTGAAAAACGTTTTCTCATACCACACCTTGGGAATTAGGAAAGATGTGGTTTGAGAAAACACACCTTTGAAAAACCCTTATGCAAACATGGCATTGAAAAAACCCTTATGCAAACATGGCATTGAAAAACCCTTATGTGGCAACAGCAGTAATGGTCCCAAACAGGAAAAAACATTTTCTTAGTGGCTGTTTGGCACCGATGTTGTTTTCTGAGAAAACGACACCACATCAAAAAAAGCAGTGCTTCAGAAAACAACCTCTTATTTGGTACCATTTTTTTAGGAAAAAAAAAAGTTGCTTCAGACCATGCCTTGGAAATTGGGAAAGGGTGGTTTGAAGCAACACCAAATTCAATATTTTCTCAGAAAACAACTCATTGTTGCTAGTGGTACCGCTAAAAGGTCCCTAAAACTGTCGCTAGACGGTAGTTTTCTCAACTTGTATATGTGAGTGGAATTAACGGTTCCAAACATCCTTCCATTCTATTTTTTTCCTTGTTAAAATTTACATTAAAATTTGCTCTTCCTCTTTTGCTAAAAGCTTTTCTCAACGATTGGAGTTCGTGTTTTGTGCACCCATGGGTGCACTGGATGAGTGAACCTACAAATTAGAGTCCTCCACGTCAACCAGGAGAAGGAACGCATACCGTTAACATTCCAAGTGTCGTTAGTTGGGTTTGGCGGTTCAACTAGCAGCAAAATGGCAAAAAAGGAGATCAAAACCCCTGACAAACCTCATTTTTGACTTTTCCCTCCATGTTTTTCTCTTGGAGACTGAACCATCCACACTATAACTCAAACCAGTGGTCGTTGACGCCGACGGCAACGGCGAGAGCTCCAATAATACATTTCTCTCTCCCTCTTCCTCTTCTTCTTCTTCTTCTTCTTCAAATGCTGAGAAGGAACGCATACCGTTAACATTCCAAGTGCCGTTAGTTGGGTTTGGCGGTTCAACTAGCGGCAAAATGACAAAAAAGGAGATAAAAACCCCTAACAAACCTCATTTTTGACTTTTCCCTCCATGTTTTTCTCTTGGAGACTGAACCATCCACACTATGACTCAAACCAGTGGTCGTCGACGGCGACGGCGATGGCGATGGCGAGAGCTCCAATGGTACATTTCTCTCTTCCTCTTCCTCTTCTTCTTCTTCTTCTTCTTCTTCTTCTTCTTCAAATGCTCTAGTTTTGAGTGTGCATTGCTTTATATTGACAGTAGACCTCTTCATGGCCAGGCTCGACCACATGTTTGTTGCCGACCAACAAGTGAAGAACAAGATGTCGTCCAAACAAATCCCATCGGATGCGCCGCTCACGGTTCGGCCCTACCCCAAGAAGGAAGACGAGAACAACATGAGAATTGTTACTCCGGTGGAGATAAAGATCCCAAATATCACATATAACCCGCCCTCTTGTGATGTTACCCAAGACGTCCCTACCGTTATATTCGCCACCATTTACACCGGCAACATCTACCATGAATTCAACGATATTGCCATCCCCCTTTTCCTCACATGTCGCCATTTTCAATTGCGCATAAGGTTCATTGTGACTAATTTCAAAGCCCGGTGGGTCACTAAATTCAACCCACTTCTCTTAGGCTTATCGAGCTATCCGGCCAACAACGGCAAGGTGCACCTCTTTCCTGTAGTTGTTGTTGGGCTCAAGTACCATTACAAGCAACACTAGCAGAATTCCTGGTGGATACTCTATGCTATACTTCAAGCAGCTCCTTCGAGAATCGTTCAACTTGAGAGTAAAGCATGAGTCTGAGATACAAGAGCTGAATATGGTCATTGTTTCATGCAGAAGGATGAGAATGCTCGTGAATGAAGACGATCTGGTGAGGGTGGCAAAAGGATTGGGGTACCATGTGATTAGAGCTTCGCCTGATCAAATGGCAAATTTACGAGAGCTTCCTGGGGTGTTGAACAGATGTAGTGTTCTAGTGGGGGCTCGCAGGGTAGGACTGACAAATAATGTGTTCTTGCCAGAAGGAGTTGTGGTGGTGCAAGTGGTGGAATGGAGTCTGGAATGGGCTTCCGAAGCTTACTATGGTGGAGTTCTCGTCCTCTAACCACCTCTCCTCCTAGAGGAAATCATTTATCCTTCCCGGAAGGGGCGAGTTCTGGGTTTGGGTTCAGTAGAGGAGAATCTCAGAAAATGGGAGGGAGTGAGAAATGAGTTTCGAAATGAGGAAGACAGTCTATAAACTTGGGTTCTTTGTCTTTTTCGTCTAGTTCGACCGGACACGTCCAGATAACGGCCAAAATACCGTTAACATCTGGATCTTCCAGCCCCATCAACGTGTCTTTGTTTGGTTGGCAGGTTCATGCGTCCAGTGCACCCACGGGTGCACAAAATGCGGACTCCAACGAATGGGCATGAGACAAACCAATAGAAAACCACATGCCTGAACATTGCATGCCATTGATCTAGAACGGAATGCTTGAGACAAAATATACACCAATAAAAAATAGGAGATAAGGGTTTCTTCTTATTCTTTCATTCAATGCTTTTTGCAAGGAACTAAACATATCTGAAACGAACCAACGGAAATCTGCATGCCTGAGCAATGTGTACCACCGATGGAATCATGAAGCAAAAAATGTTGTGCTTAATATTTGTTCAAATGGTGAGGCCCATTACAGCTACCATAGACCAAACCTTATGTGTCAATGTACCTTCAAAATCAATGGTCCCTTGAAAACCCTAGCCGTGTGTGTCTACAACCCAGCCTCCCTTGTCTTCTAGTGAACGCATAAACTGATGTTATTGAAATTTAGTAGCAATCCTTTGATTGAATGCACTTTCAGAGAGAAGCTGAATCTACAATTCCAAATGTATGATAAAGCTTTCAAGATGGAGACTTCTTGTCCTTCTGCAACGAGTCCTTGTTCTTGCAAGACAAGTCTTCCTTGAGGAACCTAGGTTTTGGCTTTATGTCAAAGACATAGATTTTTCCAGTAGATTTGGGTCTATCATCAGAGTTTGAAATTATACCCTTTGAAGAATTTTTGTAGAGATAAAGGGCCCTGCTTTGCACCTTAAGTATCTTATTACCAGGATCCCTACATTTTTCTTCCCAAATTTAACTTTTGACATCATAAACAAATTTCAAACCTTGAACAATAATTGACAATGGAAAAGTGTTCAACAATAATTGATTTATACTCACTAAAACTCCCAATTTTTTGAGTTGATTCAAATATATTACAAAACCTAAACTACTCCTCTCCTTTTCATAATTTCCACATCTTGAACACGAATAAAGGGAGCAGAATAAAAAATGTACAAAGATCCTCAGTCAAAAGTCAAAGCCTTGCAATAATATTTCTGATGTAATTTAGCTGGTCTTTCCCGTCGATGGCATTAAATATTCTCAAGAAGAAAGCCTTTAAACCTTGATCTCGTGTTTTTATTTGATTTAAAATGTTCGTTATTATCACTTCCACATGCAAGTTTTGCCCATATTACGGTGTTAATATGTCACCCTCTCATTTGATGTATAGAAAGATCTACAGGATCAATGTGAGGAGATCAGAGTGAAACATTGTTCTAATATTTCAGCCTGGAAAATCTCCCATCTCAAATTGAAACAAATGCAGCCTTTTTAATAAATAAATAAATATAATCCAGCCTTATCTCAAAACCAAAGTTAAAAAGCAATATTCCCTTCTTTTGAAAGAAAAGGGCCCATTGTTTTGAGCAAACATCCTCATTTGCTCTCACCAATGGCTAGAAAAGAAAATGTATAGCTGATCTAGCTTTGAAATGTTGGTTTAATTAAAATTTAACATCATTATTGGACCCACCGGATGAGCTGAAATTAAATATAACAAACAGAAAAACGAATAAATAAACATATAAATAAATAAAATGAGAGAGGCTAATAAATGCATTTCAACAATTTATAGACGATGTGGGCCATTGTTGAATGGTCATTCGCTTCTGCCTAAAATATAGGGGAAATTCTCGATCAGTATCTTGTATTTTGGCTCGAGTGACAATTTGGTCCCCAGACTTTAAAATGCAACAATTCAGTACCCAAACTTTCAAAATGTGACAATCAAGTATCCGAACTTTCAAAATGTGACAATCCAGTACATGCTGTATTGTTGTTAACCAGTTCATTAATCAGCCGTTAAGTGACATTTAAAAAATCAAAAATGCCCTTTGAATGCCATCTAATTCTCTTTATCAACCATTCAAACATTGACAATAAACTGAATAGTCCCAAATTCTAGATTCTTCTAAATAGTCACCAACTTTTTTTGAATAGAAGATGCTAGGATTTGGGATTGTTCAATTTTTTGTCAACATTTGGATGGTTGTTAAAGAGAATTATATGGCATTCGAATGGACATTTTTGACTTTTCAAATGTCACTTAACGACTAATTAACAAACTGGTTAATGACAAGTACTAGATTGCCACATTTTTAAAGTTTGAGTACTTAATTGTCGCATTTTAAAGTTCGGAGACCAAATTATCACTCAAGCCAAAATACAAGGTAGTAATCAGGAATTTCCCATATATATATATTCAAATAAAACAGCATGATAATACTATAATAGACGACTTTGGATCGTTTCGCTGGCCAGACGAAGATAGAATAAAAAATGTTTATTTGCATCTACCCTACAATTTATTTATTATTTTTTCCGTGGGTGGACGTGATTAATCGGCATCTTGCTATTGGATCCTTTCAATTTGACTAGTTTGGTTTCTTGATATTGATAAATTCAGCCACGCCCCTAATGAAAAGACCAGTTATAGCGCTGCTATAGTGATAAACTTTAGTGGTGAAGTGCAACCTGGGTGGGGTTGAGTTCGGGATTTGCTAAATTTTCAATTGGCCTCAGTCCTAATATAAGCCTGATGTAATTAAAAGGATCGATATGATGTTGGGAAAAATTTATAACTAGTCAACCGATATCATAAAAACTGCATTTGGTGAACATTTGCTTTTCAATGTTGTAAAAAAATTATTATTTTTATTTAATGGTTTATACAACGAATTTGGATCTATTCCTCACAGAGCGCATCTCACATCATCCTTACAGTGCATCTGAGCCATGCATTTTGAACATCTTATCACGAATGATAATATATGTATGGGAGATGTTCTTAATGCATGGATGTGATGTACTGTGAGGCACTCTTAAAGAGCAAATCCAATTACCACAGAACAATGGTAGCCTTGCCCCAAGTGCACAAGCCCCTAGATACTTATCCCCATTCCTCCCAAACCTCGATAAAGGTGGGACTCGATCAAGTCTTCGCGGCTCCATCCCAACAGGCAACAACTTGTTTTTATATAAATGACACTTTTTTTTTCAGATTTTATTGCCCCTCTTCTCTCTGTATCTCTGTCAATCCAAGCCCAACCCTAACCTTAACTCTAACAAAACCTGAATTACTAAATATTAACCCTATCCAACCTAAAATCTCTCGATCCCAACCATTCCAAGGTTGATTTTGGGTTGGATTAGGCTTAGGTTGGACTTCGGAAGTACTCCCCATAGAGCGTGCCCCACAGTCAATCCGCCGTGCATTGGGAACATCTCCCATACGGAGATTTGCTTGTTTTATGATTTTATTGTTCTTTTTTTTTACAAAATATTGAAAAAAGGAATGTTTCAAATGACCAAAGTCTATTGTGAATTATCATAGATCTTCAATTGAAAATCTAAAATCAGGATATATATATATATATATTAAACAAGGTTTTTTGTGTCACCCTTGCTCTCCTTTCTTCCTCTGTCCTTTCTTACTTCATCAACTCTCCTTCCTTCATTACCCTTCCACCCTCCCATTAAACTAAGTCACGAGAGCTTTAACCTATCTTATTAAGCCACATCATCCTTCCTTTGAAGTAAATCATCTCCTCTTGGAAATTTTTCATAAAGTATCTTCCCCACCTAAAAGTTCATCTTAAAACATTTCCTATTCTATTTCACATGCCAAATAAACCATCTAATTTTAACATCTCCCCCACCCCCTCTTTCTTTATTCCTATCTCCATCTCTCTCCACATTCCCAATACATGCATTTAATTTTTCATTAATATATTAAAGTATTAATGTTTAAGTTAAATTTTTTTAGAAAACCTTTTAAGTTAAAACTTAAATATTGAAATAATATGGGTAAAAATATCTAAAATACTAACAAGAGAAAAATAGATAATGCAACAAGACAAGTAATAAAAATAATGTAATAAAATTTAATAATTAATTAAATTATTATAAATATAAATAATAATTTAATATTGTCAATATAAAATCTACCTCTCTCTATGGGACGTTTTAGGCCCCATACATCACTATTTATATTGATGCTGAAATTTGGTGAACACTACACCAAAAAGATGGGTCAAGAAAATATAAATTTTTAGTTACCATTTTGAACAAATATTGATTGATATGGTTTTGTCTACCATATTTGCTATATAATTTTTTTTTTATAAAAACATGTCTTAAAAATAAATATTAGAAAATGTTGGATAAATATTTTCTATTATATTTTTCAAAAAATGTTAAAAATTCAATAAAAATTATATAAATTATGTAAAAACTTGTATTGATAATTTTCTAAAAATACTTTACGTGAACATGAATTGACTCCTTTGTCTTATAGCTTCTTTGTGACAAACTTAAGTTTTAGAAGCATCGAGTGGTATATCAAATGGATTAGGTTGCTTCCCTAGCTTTGCCAATTTCCCATGAGGGAAAAAAAAACAAGAAGAAGAAATAAACCAATGGCTCAAAATTGATACACATCAAGAAGACGAAGTTCATGGTTGGGTTTTTTGAATACCTAAAAACCACCCAACCCCTAGTTTCAATTATCGGTTTATATAGAATGGAGCTAATTTGGTTTGATTGATTCGACTCGGTTGTGTAATTTTGAAAATAAAAGAATGAATAACTAAACAAGAGAGTTTTTCCATTGTTTTGAGATTTGGCTTGGACTAGACAATCAGATCGGTTGACCTAGGAACCAGATATGGCTCCAGGTCCAGTTTTGGACCCCAAAATTGTTCGATTGAGCTTTGGATTAGATATGGATCGTTCAA